TCATGTGATAAATCATTAAAATCCTAGTAAGGCGCACGCAGTAGATTGGTGTACCTCTACAACACCGAGAAGCACCATGCCTGGTCGCTTTGTATGAGCCAGGTACAGAGCCAAGTGTTTTCTACTCATGAACTCATTTAATACTAATGAAACCCTATGCAGTGGTTATTATTACTTTCATTTTGAAAATAAGGACAAGGAGGCTCGGAGACATAAATCAACTTGCCCAATGACACACAGCTAAGAAGTGGGGGGGGGGATGGGAGGGAACCCAGGACCAGTGATGCAAAAGTCCAGGCTCTTAACTGCTACATATGAAAAAAAATTAATTTCTAAGCTTTCCTCAGTCTATTGAACTAGATGCACAGACTTGTGGATTCGAGATTTACTTCATCTTTGGGATGAGATTATGAGGCCCTCAAGAGAAGATATCCATTCTTTCTTTTCCTAATTAATTAACAGACATTATCAAACTTTTGTTACATATGGAGAACAGCATACCAGGTACTTGGGAAACAAAGGTAATAGGACAGAGAAACCTTCCTTACGCTGAATTTTCTTTCTCTCTCTCTCTATCTGTATTTGTATGTACACCTGTCCCTATACCTATGTTTTTTTTTTTTAAAGATTTTACTTATTTATTTGACAGAGACACAGTGAGAGAGGGAACACAAGCAGGGGGAGTGGCAGAGGGAGAAGCAGGCTTCCTGCCGAGCAGGGAGCCCGATGTGGGGCTCGATCCCAGGACCCTGGGATCATGACCTGAGCTGAAAGCAGACGCTTAACGACTGAGCCACCCAGGCGCCCCTATACCTATGTTTTTAACCAGAGGAACTGGTGTAATTCACATAAAGTGGGCATGAAATGGTCAAGTAACAAAACCCAGGTTCTCAGGGCCAAGGAGAATGCTTAATGCTTTCTCAGTACAATATAAAGGGGACAATTTCTGGGTAGTATGGAGGTGTTTTGATGTTGTACCATAGAGAAAAAAAGAGAGCATATGTGTTAAATAGTAGACAAGTGACTTAACACATCTGTATTCATTTCCTAAGGCTGCCGTAAGAAATTACCACAGATCAGGTGACTTAAAATGACAGAAGTGTCTTCTCTCGCAGTTCAGGAGGCCAGAAGTCCTCAAGCAAGGCATCCGCGAGGTGGGTTCCTTCTGGAGGCTCTGAGGAAGAAATCAGTCCCACGTCTCTTTCCTGGCTTCTAGCGGTGGTTGCTGGATTACTCCAATCCTTGTCACTGTCTTCACATGAGTTCTTTCTATATCACCATGTGCTCTTTCCTCTTCCTACAGTGACAGCCATCATCGGATTAGGGGCCCAACCTACTCTTATAAGACCTCATCTTAACTAATGACATCTGCAAAGACCCCATTCCCAAATGAAGTCCTATTCTGAAGTCCTGGGTAGATGTGGATTTTGGGGTGCAGGGACACTATTCAACCGACTACACCCTCTAAGCCTCCGTTTCCTTACCTGTAAAATGTGGATAGAATAGGGGCACCTGAGTGGCTCAGCCAGTTTAAGCGTCTGCCTTGGGCTCAGGTCATGATCCCAGGTCCTGGGATCGAGCCCCGCATTGAGCTCCCTGCTCCGTGGGGAGTCTGCTTCTCCCTCTCCCTCTGGCCCTCTCCCCACCTGCTCATGCTCTCTCTCTCATTCTTTCTATCCCAAAGAAAGAAATTTTTAAAAATCTTTTAAAAATGTGGATAATAGTATTTCCCTTCTGAAATTACTGTAAAAATTAAATGAAAGAATACACAGGGGCGCCTGGGTGGCTCAGTCAGTTGAGCGTCTGACTCTTGGTTTCGGCTCAGGTCATGATCTCAGGGTCCTGGGATGGAGCCCTGTATCAGACTCCATGCTCAGCAGGGAGTCTGCTTGAGATTCTCTCTCTCTCTCTCTCTCTCTCTCTCTCCCTCTGCTCCTCCCCCTACATATGCACACATTCTCTCTCTCAAATAAATAAATCTTAAAAAAGAAAGAATACACGTATAGTTGTAGTACATAATAAGAAGTCAATAAATGTTAGCAATAAATAGCAGCAGTAACCATAATAACCAGCCTGAGCTATCTCCCTACCATAAGGCACAACAGGCTCCGTGGCCACTCAGAGCAGAGCAGAAGCCTAAGGCAGACAGATAGAGGAATTTGGGATGACAGGTAGCTGGAGCATGCTCTAAGAAGAGTTTCTGCATCACATGAGGTGAGGGATAAGATCAGCTATTTAAGAACAGGAATAACAGAGCAACGTGAGTAAGGCACTGGTGCACTGTAAACCAAGTGTGGGGACTGAACTGCAAGTAGACCAGCCAAATTCTTACAATCAATATGATAGCTCTTCTATGCAAGAGGCCAGTTTGGTATTTGAAAATGCCAATTCATCACATCCCCTTTCCCACCTCTTCTGCCACTTCTTTGTATCAGAGCCATCACACTTAGAGAATCCTCACACTTTTTCCTTAATCTCTCCAGGAAGCCACTTTGGTTTGAATATGGATTACCCTAAAGCTCTAGGTTCCTAACTGGCTACTGCACAGGTTCATGCAATGTTGGAACTTCCCGTTTATAAGCTACAAAGCCACTGGTTGTCATTATATCACTGACCCGTCAAGCTTTTCTTTTTTTTTTTTTAAGACTTTATTTATTTATTTGTCAGAGAGAGAGAGAGCACGCACAAGCAGGGAGAGTGGCAAGCAGAGGGAGAAGCAAGGAGCAGGCTCCTCGCTGAGCATGGAGCCCGATGTGGAACTCGATCCCAGGACCCTGGGATCATGACCTGAGCCAAAGGCAGATGCCTAACCGACTGAGCCACCCAGGCATCCCACCCATCATCAAACTTTTCAAAGTTAGCCAAGCCACAGCAGCATGTGCCAGCCTAAAAACAAGCTTCGAATGACTGTGACTATTCCAAGAAATTGCCCCCAATTTCTCCTCTTTTTCCTCCTTATGTTCATTTTCCCATCTTCCTGGTTTCTGGATTCCTGGCTCTGTGCTTCTTACTGGGGCTTGCCTTAAGCCTAGTTTACCCCTCTCACCTCCATTGCCTTGGGCAAGAAAATCCCTGTTTCACCCCCAGTCTAGAGGGACTCCTGGTGATGTGCAGTGAATAGAGTTCCACTGCTGTCTCACTTGCTGGAGTTCTCATTTATTCTCTCTCTCTCTCTCTCTCTCTCTCTCCCATCCACTCACTTTCTGCGACCTATATTCATGCATCCTGAAGGGAGAGGTGGTGGTTCGCTGTGTCTCTCTGGTTTGGAGCAGGAAGAGAACAGCTTCCAGACTGCATAAATCCTGAGCCCATGCCCCCCCAACCACACACACACACACACACACACACACACACACACACACACACACACACACACACCTTTCCCAAAGGACAAACAACACGTTCATGCACACCACAAAAAGAACAAGAGATCCAAACAGCCTCCTCTCTCCTCCTCCCCCACCTTCTGCATCCAAGTGAGAACAGTCCAGAGCTTTGTTCTTTAGTCTTTTGAGTTTCAAGCCTGGCTCTGTGGGGGCTACATTTGCACTGAATGTAAATATTCATTAATGTATTTAATTCCCATCCTGAATATCTTTCTGTTTCATTATTGTCTGTCTAGTGGGCTGAGACTGAAGCTGACTTTTTCTGTATATCTTCCCGGTCCAGCATCACATATAAATGGGCACTTAATAAGTGATTTTGGTCATGATGGCATAATTAAATCTTTCTGTATTGGAAATTACACATGACTTGACTCGGGGGCTGGTCTAGTCTAATTGTGTTTGTGTTCATTTTCTTGCTTTTTCCTTTATCTTGCCTAATCCTGTCTTAGCAAAGTGGGCTTTAAATTCCAAGGAGGCTCACATGGGACTTCAGTCCCAATTCCCTTACGTTGGTTGACCAAGGGCAAGGAATTAAAAATATGTATATATATGATCCGCCTGGAGTGGGCATAGAGTGATCCGGCCCTTAATGTATTCAAACCACTAATGCTGTCACTCCCAGGCAGAATGTCTTGTCTTCAAGGAAAGCTTTTATTCTTTGGAAAGACTCCAGCTTCTTGCTCTTACTGAAAGAATGGATCCAGCTTTAGGAGGCAATGCCTATTGTCTGGAGGAGAAAACAGCACTACGTTTTAGTCTGATCTGGAGGCTGAAGAGGACAAGGGAACTTTACCCTTAACACCAAATTTTACACGTTCCCCAAAGACGCACTGAGTAACATCGCACCCACTCAAACTCACGGACAGACATGACCACCCAGAAAACCAGCTATTTAAATGGGTGACTCCACGGTACCAGGCTTCTCTTTGATGTTAAAGATAAATATTGCTAATTATTGCATGTTATCATTTTCCAGGGTTTGCTTCTGTACTGCAGCTAATACGGTAAGCACTGGCCACATGTGGCTGTTGAAATGTAAATGAGTTCAAATTAGATAAAATTTAAAACCCATTTCCCCAATCAAACTACCCACATTTCAAGGGCTCAGTAACACGTGCCTAGTGGCTATGTGTTGGACAGCACAGACATAGAACATTCCCACCGTCACAGAAAGTTTGATCAAACGGTGCTCGTCTACCTTAAAGCACATTGAAATACATCTGTTTATCATAGACTGGAATTTGGTGGGGTTTGTACCTTGCCTAGTACCCCAGAGCGTAAATTATGAGTTGGGTGGTTACCCGTCAAGGTGCCACATGGATAGAGAGACTCTAGGACAAGCCATTGTCGCCTGGAAAATTCTGGCAGGAGGCCAACTCTGACTGAATCCCTTCGAGGTGGAGCCTTCTGCTGCCGTTCAATTCAGACCACACACAATAGTAAAACCTGCAGTTTCTGAGGACGCCTTCAGCCAAGCGTGGGGCTGGTTGGGGTGAGGGCGTTGGTAAGCTCACATATCTCTGCCATTCAGTCTTGTAACCTGCCTTTGTTATTTCTTCACATTTTTCTATAATGATATTTTACATTTTGCATTCCACACATTCCAGGAATGTGATGAACAGTTCAATAGAAATTCGGAGAGGTCATGTTTTTCGAGCTCACAACAAATGGACCCATGACAAGAACGGGGTAACAAAACCTGGCTTTGACCTAATTGCGTTTACCATGCCCCCATGATAAATTATTTCTTCAAGTTTAGACCCCCTTTTAAATACAAATATTCTATCTGTACAGAGAAACACAACGAGTGTCCAATCCTGAATAACACATCGGCGTAGCTTAATGCATCAGATCTCCGTAGAAGAGCAAGACCCGGGGAGAATTAGGCAGGGAACACATAAAGCTTAATGATGAAGCAACAGAGAAAGGTCTGTGTTCTTTATGGGTAACTCTTCTAGAAGAAGACTTGTGGTTCTATCCGTTCTTTCCCCTTTGGTTCCCTTAACTTAACAGCTGCTGCGTAAAAGCACAAATTATTCCCCAAGACTCTGAATTAATAGTCTCCTTTCTATTCACTTGTATCCTCTTAAACTGCCCTTTTTTGCAGCTTCCCCCACTGGAGTTGGTGAGGCGGACAGGCAGCTCTTTTTGCTCAGGCTGGCCCCTTTCCAATGCCAGCCTTTGTACCCAGTGTTAGCTGCGGCTCTTTATCTCGAATTTCCCTCACCAGGCTTTCACTTCCTGGCACCTTTCCTTCACTCCTCCCTGTACAGCAGGTGGAATCCTCATTTAAGAAAAAAAAATACATAGGGATTCTTTAAGTAACGATTTCAGAAATCAAATTATTTGCTGTGAAATCGGCAGACTCTGTTTGCCAGGGTTCCCCATTACGCAGAATCTGTCACGTCAAGATCTATTATTCTCCCTGCAGGCAAACAATAACAACTTTCTACTGCTACTCAAAAGAAGAAAGGGTCTTCTCGAAAGTGACGCTAAGGGGCTGTGGGTGTCAGCTCCTAAATGTGCATCTTTGCACACGCCATACATTTGGATAAAAGGGGAGGTGACTGCAGAGGAGATCCTTCCAGTGGGGAGGACACAATCCATTTCCTGCGCAAGCATTCGGTTGGAAGCTCAAACCCCGTCTTTTTCCTTTAGGGCCCTCCTTGCCTGGGAGAGCCCTGGGATACCGCTCTCCTCCAGCCAGGAGAGGGAAATGAAACACCAGTCCACGGTGGCCGAGTTGGCGGGCAGCCATGCCCCTGAGAGCAAGATTTGGAATGCAATTTACCCCAGGTGCTATTAGCACGAGCAGCCATGCCCCTGAGAGCAAGATTTGGAACGCAATTTACCCCAGGTGCTATTAGCACCTCTCTCCCCATTCCCGAAGCAAGGAGCTCCTCCAGGCCAAAGAGGGTGGCGAGGGAGAATAGGGATGGAAAGTGGAGGTTCACATCCCGCTTCTCATTTCTGCTCTGCAGTGCCTTGTTTCCACACTAGGGAAATAGCAGGTTAACCCAGGGGGCAGGGATTTGAGCCAGCGTGCTCCAAACAAAATGGCTTTCCTTTGCATTGCATTGCTTAAGTAACATTTTCTGAGCCCTGGCTAAAGATAAACAGTGTAGCTCACTATATGCCGAATGACTCAACAGAGACAATCACGGATGCTAATAAAATCAGTATTTGAAAGAAGGCTTAAGGGTTTTTACGGAATACAGCCATACTCATAGACTTGCAGCTGTTACACTGTAATAAATAACTTGGAGGCTGGTGGCTTGTCACTACTAACACAAGAAAGCCACTTTGTAATGGTCAGTAACTGCCCGGAAAATGATTTTTTTTTCCTTAGCCCCAATCCTATTACTTTTGATTCTTTTGCTTTTAGTTTTAAAGGCTAACAAAGAGCATTACATATCAACTTATCAAACATGTGCTTAAGGGTACCGAACCTACCACAAAGGTCTTGACAATGTGACGCGCATTTCGCCCCTCCTTGCTGCCCAGCAGAGCCCTGTAGCCCCACATCCAGCCAGACCCGCCAGTGCACACCAGAAGCATTCCCAACCTTCCCAACACAGAAGGCAGGGGCATCACGCTCACGGCTGGATTCATAATCGTATTCCCCCTTTTTTAATATAACAGTGAAGCCTCTTCCCTCTACTATAAAGAGCAAAATAAGTGCTCCTTTAGCGATGTCTCCTCTTCACGACAGAGGACTCTGAATGTCACACTGAAAATTAAGCAGAAGGATTGTAACTTGAAGCTAGTTGTACCTCTTGTGGCACACTTCACACTTGTCAATATGTCCGCCTTCCCCAACAGACTGGGTCTTAGTGTGGGTTCCCCAGAAGACCCTGAGATAGGAGACAGAGTGCAAGTGGTTGCTTTAGGAGATGATCTCTGGAAACACCCGGAGAGGAGTGGGGAAGTGAGACAGAAAACAAGGCAGCCAATAAAAGGCCCATTATGACGCAAGCTACACTAAGCTTAATTCAGGGGGGACCTACAGGAGCTAGGGTAGAGGGGGATGGATGTGGGCTGTTTACACACCCGCTCCTGTCAGTCATGACTGAGGGCTGCTCGTGGGGAGCATTCATTCCCAGGATGCCCTGTACACAGGCTAGTAGGCTATGAAGCCAGAGAAAGATCTCGGGTGACAAAACACACAGGCCAGCAATGGTAAGCGGGATCTGTGTGCACTGGAGTAGTAAAGTCAAGGGACAGGGTGGGCTCACATAAACAGCAAGCCCCCTCGCTCTCTTGTGCGTCCTCAGTGCACTGCGTGCTGCTGTAGTCACTCAAAAAATACTTGTTGTCTAGCCAACTGGGCACCCTGCATTACCACATCCTACACTCCACCATAACTAGTATTTTCTCCCCTCTGTGAAAAGGGAATGCATTTTACCAACCAGTTCTCCATTCTCAATACCTATGTACCAAAGAAGAAAGTAAGAAATCCCCACTGGGGTTGGGGTGGGGGTGGGGGCGGGAGGGGGAAGGGAGCAATGCTAGAACCCTTCATTTGAACACCACTATTTACGGCCACCATTTTCTATTCATTACAGAGAAGGTCTCTGAGATTTTCTCTGTTTGTACCTTACTGTAAATGTTTTCCAGGAGTAATTACCTCCTACGCTACCATCAGGACTGAAACAGTGGTAGAAGCAATAACTGTGTCTTGCCTTCCTCCTTGGGCCCTTACTAACAAGCAGCCTTGGCAAGAGAAATGCTTTTCAATAGCCTGAAAAAATTGAAATCCCAGGTAGAACAAGTTAATATGAAGGTGAAGGAAGGTGTAAGTTAGGGCCAGCTCCGCTTTGAATCCACAGCCCCAGCGGGCACGGTGGGGCACAGCGAAATACTATAGTTTCACTACAAAGACAGCCACTTCTGTATTGTTCCCAAAGAGAGGCCCAATGGCCAGTGTTCACCCCACTGTCCCCGGGGCACCGTCGCCTTACGATGCCAGCAGCTGTGACTGTCATCTCTGCCGGAACACTGACCTCCCTCCTCTGGGTGTCCTTCAGGTAATCCTTCCCCTTAAGAGTGCCTGTTTCAGCTAATCCCTGGCATCTGTAGAAAACAACCCAAGAAGGTCAAATCCCCTGTGGTTCTGGTTTACATTCCCTTCTGTTACAAGGAAGTGTAGTGTTAAAGAACACCAAACAGAAGAGACAGACAAAGCAAGACTGGGAGAGATGGTTTACAGGAAGAGAGAGAGAGAGAGAGAGAGACAAAACAGTTCTCCGAACTCCTCCATGGTAGAAGGATGACATTGCTTCACAGGCAATACATAGACCACTTGAATTCTGTTTCCCTGGAAGGTCAAAGCGCCATGGGATCTCTTTCACTTGACATTTCACTGACCAAAGTTTACTTCTAACGAAATTGTACATCTACTGTATTCGGGTAACAGACACATTCAAATAACGGTGCTCAGGTGGTGGAGTCTCTGATGTGGCTCCCAGATCCCCCTTCAGAAGGAAAGAAAGATTATTCCCCTAGCCGTTGGTAGTGCCATTGGAAGGTGGCCTTCCGCCATCATCCATCTCCGAGGATAGCTAGTGCTAAAGCAAACGACCTCGCCCATGGTCATGCTTCCTTTCAGGGGTAACCTGCATCAGCTATTTGGTAAATACACAGATTCAAAGGCTGGATCCCCTTGCTTCAATTCAAGACAATCCTGAAGGGCCATCCAAGGCTCAGAGCTCCTCCAGGAGATGGGTTGTTTTGCTAGAGGCTGTATTACAGATCGACTCCCTCCCCTGTTCATTCCTGCTTCTTTCCCCTTCTTGCCCCGGTGTTAATCCCAAGGGCTCTCCCTCATAAACTTCCTGCATGTTAATTTCCATCTCATAATCTGCTTTCTGGGGAAGCCAGTCTATAACAGGTACTTAGGCCCTCCTAATGCATCAAAGAGCAGATTATATACAATGAAAAAAAATTCATGGTTTGCTTATTTTATTGTGCAACGTTACTTTGGAAGTTGCTAATCAATATATGTCCATGATCTCTTAATCAGAATATTTGATTAATTAAAGGGTCTTAATTCTCAACCGTGTTGGTATAATAAGCAGGCCAGAGGTCAGGGCTAGTGGGCAAATGTAAATAGGTAATAAATTAAACCACACTTTTTTTTCCACACCTCTTTCCCCATATTAACAGATAATCGTAATAACAATGGCAAACAAGATGTATGAAGGGCTTACTACGCTACAGACTGTTCTTAACACTTTGAATTATTTCATTTAAATTTCACAGCAACTCCGTGAAATACATACAGTTATTGTCCTCCACTATAGAGATGAGAAAGCTAAGGCATAGAGAAAGCACACAACTCTCATAAGTGATGCAGCCTGGATTTGTAATCCAGGCAGTTGTATTTGAGAACCCAAACTCTTACCGCCTACAATATATCTGCCTTCCTAATTGAAAAAAAAAAAAAACTTTATCAATGCCTAATCATGTCTGATATGGTTGAAGTCAATGATTATTGATAGGAAGCTTTACCTTACTCAAGAAATGTTGGGTAGGCTGAAGACTGTGACGCCCCTAAACCACAACCAGGCTCTGGGGCTGTTGAGTCCTGCTAGGGAAATTACCTCAGCAGCACAGACTAGTTATTTACATCAGGGGGGCCCTCATCGCCCACCAGAAACAACTGTGTCTGAGCCCAAGCAGCTGTCTCTGCCATTCCCCGTATCTGTAGCCTGGAACTTTCACCATTAATCCCACATCTCCAACCTCACAGCTTCTCCCTTTGTTAGGAATTCATCGGACAGTTAGGTAGTCAGGGTCAGGGTCCCCAGCAAGAAAATATGGAGTCAGGACAGCTAAAATAAAACCACACTGACATCCTGTTTTGCAGCTTGGATGGGACCGCGCTAACATTCTGCTTTGCAGCCTTTGCAGAAATGGCTTCTGCAAAACGTCCTAAAATAAGGCAATTAACCACAAAGCATTTGTCAATATCATGGGCAAGGGGGCAGTTAAGACATAAGCCCCCAGATGTCAGCCAAAAATAAAGACCATCAGCACGTGGACATTAACCTAATAGGTAGACAGATATGTGATCAAAGCCCTGATTGGCATGACTCAGCACACACTGATTGCTCAAGATAGTTCTGCAAAAGAGCTCATCAAAACCCCTAAACTTAGAAACTCCAAGGGCAACCTCTTCGGGGCCCCCCTCCCTCTCTGGGAGCGTTATACTTTTGTTCAATAAACTTTGCTTTGCTGCCTACCACTCTTCGTCTTGTCTACCTCTTCATTCTTCAAAGTGGCGTGACCAAGAACCACGGGCACTAAGGGGACATGAATCCCATAACAACTTCACTCTCAGTGATGGCCTGGTCTCCACTTCACAACAAAAATGAGCCAACAATTAAGAACCACCTCACTGTTTCTTTCCCCATCTACAACTTGTCTTTGTACATTTGGCCTTATCTTCTCTCCAGTCTCTTAGGAAAAGGCCCTCTGTCCCCAGCCTGATCTCATCACATGTTTGAACCCCACCTCCACCTCCATCCTATTCAAGAAGTTACTCCATCAACATATTCTAGCCGCTGCTCAGAAATACCATTAACTTTGGTACATACTCTTGTAGTTTATATATACATAGATACCATATTGATTTTTAAAACAAAAATAGTATATTTTCTTACTGTCTTCCAAACTTTTTCACCTATAAATATTCTTTCACACATTGTATGTAATGGCTATGTCGTTGTGGTGGATATGGTGGATATGACATTCTTTCCACCCTCCCTCTTTCACATCTTGCTGAAATCAGCCACTGGAAAGCGAAAAACTACATTTCCCAGACTCCCCTGCAACTAAGATTTTGGCTACGATTAAGGCTCTACTAATCAGATGCACTCACCTGAGGTTTGAAAGATGGAAGTGAGGGAGACACTTTGCCCCTGAGCCCCCTGCTGTTTGGGCCAGCAAGTTCAGGCATGGAGACATTTGAGGGTTGTTGTTGTTGTTGTTGTTGTTGTTGTTTTCTCCAGTATCTGTAGCAGAAAGCCTAGTGTCTGATCATTCAGCCTTCAAGGTGCAGGGAGGAGGAGAGCTATTCCAGTCAGGGTGGTCAACAAAGGTTTCCCTGAGGAAGCAGCAGTTGCGCAAAGACCTGAAGGAGATGAGTAAATAAGACATGCAAAGATCTTGAGGAAAATATTTCAGGCAGGCAGAACTGCAAATGCAAAGCCCTGAGGTAAGAATCAGTGTGGATAGAGCAGAACTAAGGATGGGGAGAGTAGAAGAAGCTCAGAGCAGAGAAACAGAAGGGGCTAAATCATTTCTAGCCTTGTAAACCGTCATAAGGCATATGGATTTTATTCAGAGTGGGGTGGGAAGCTGTTGGAAGGTTCTTCCATACGTAGGGGCATGGAAACTGAGTAACATGGCTGCTATGCCTAACTAGGTATGTAGGATTAAAGAAGTAAGTATCTGGGCATGAGAATTTATGCAATCAAAGATGTAGAAACAGGAAGCTGGGGAAGTTGCAAGGTCAGGAACAGTTAGTTATTCACATGGAGGGCACCAAATGTTATTGAAAGGGCAATCTAGAAATCCATCATCCAAAACCTGTTCTTTCCATTCAATAAAGTGTAGAGCACTTATTATATGCCAACTATTCCTTTGTTCAAACATTCAACAAGTACTTGCTGATGTTTACTAGTTCGCTGGATGCTGACAAAACAAAAAAACTACAAAGATGAGTAAGACTTGAACTTGCCTTTGAGAGGTTTCATTGTCTGCAACCAAGAGATCACCTCCCAAGAGCTGTAACGGTAATTTGCCCTAGAATGGTAACTAGGGTACCAAAGAAAATAGGGGACTTCCAGTTAAATTCGAACTTAGATCAACAATGAATACTTTGTAGTGTATATATGCCCCAAATATTGCAATGTCATAGTTAGTTCATGGGACATACTTCTACTACTTAAGTATTTGTTCCTTTTATGGAAGCAAACATAACTGGGGGTCCCGTACTTTTGTTTCCTAATTCTGGCAACCATAGGTAGCAGGTACAAGGGTCTTCAAACTGGTACATACCTTGGGAGCACATGGAAACTCTCCATAATGTGGACACGGTGGGATTTTAATGGGCCCTGTGTCAAATCTCGATTTTTTTCCAAGTGTGACCTGCCCGGGAAAGGGCTTGAGATTGATGTTACAACCCTCTTGACCTCCTTTTTTCACAGTAGCCAATCTCTTGCTTTGTAGAAGAAAGGGGTACCTCTCCCTTCCTGAGTATGACTCTGGCGCATTCTGCTTGGGTATGAAAATCTCCAAAATGCCAAAGGTACAATTCAATATAACAGGGGTTGACATTAAAAAAAAAAAAAAATGAAGGAGTCTTGAGATTAGGTCACAAAACTTTTGCCAGTCAAGTGGTTCCAGCTTTTATCAGATTATTGGGTTGTCAGCTGATAGATCATTGAGGATTATTTTTGAAAATAGATTTCCATGTGATTTTTTTGCTATATAACTTGGAAGGAGTTCAAACAACTGAGTAAAATTGCTGTAACAAACCCTTTCCTTTCATCTTATTTATGGCTCACATTATTTAAAAAATAAAAAGAATAAACTCATGCTCAGCCCTATTTCATTCTGGCAATAAAAAAATATTCAACCATAAATACATGAAATATTGTTTTGAAGATCCCCATTTGCTGTATTAGGAAATGTATTTTTGACAAAATTTTACATTTTATGTTTAATGATTATCAAAATTTATAGTATGTTTATATTATTTTAATCAGTTGGGAACAACTAATTTTTATAGCAATGACTCAATCCAGAAGACCTTTTTAAACACTGAGAGCCTTGTAATCATAGGAAATAAAAATAATAATAATGTTAATTTATATATATTTTATTGTAGAGAGCATAATATGGTGGTTACTAAAATTCTTTCAAACACAAAAATATGTTACATTAGAATAAAATCCTGCAAGGGAAGCGGAATGGAACCAGGAGCTCAAACAAGATAAAGGAAAGAGGTCAAATCTCTGTCGGTTAAAGAAGAGCTTGTTTGTTTATTTTTTTAAAGGGGGATGGTGGGTATCAAATCACTGTGCTATTTAGATTCTGTTGGATAATTCTGCTATAGACTGAATATTCTCCCAGCCCCACCCACCCCCACCCCCTGTTGAAACCCAATCCCCAACATGATGGTGTTTGGAGGTGGAGCCTTTGAGAGGTGCTTAGCTCAGGAGGGCAGAATGCTCATGAAGGGGGACCAGTGGCCTAATAAAAGAGACCCCAGAGCGCTCCCTCCTGTCATGTAAGGACATAACAAAAAGGTGGTCATCTGTGAACCAGGGAAGTGGGCTTTTACCAGACATCTAATCTGCCAGTGCCTTGATCTTGGACTTGTCAGCCTCCAAAACCACGAGAAATAAATTTCTGTTGTTTATAAGCCACTCAGCCTCTGGTGTTTTGTTAGACCAGCCCGAACAAAGACGTATTCAAAAGAGGAATGTCAGAGTTTTCTTTTTAAATGTCAATTACTTATAATAAACCACAAATGACATCCTTTGCAGTATTCAGGTTTAAGATACAAAATTTTCCATGTCAACTTCAAAATGTCCTAGGGACTACATCGCTTTTATTGAAATCGTTTTCATTTTAGGAGGTATGCAAAAATTTAAAAAGTTTGAAGGCCACTTGCCAGGTACAGAAAGGTCTGGGCTGGGGGCAGGGAGTGGGCATCCCAGCCTCCTGGGGTTAATGCTCAGGCTGCTTCATGTCTCAGGTCCCTACCTTGGGATGCCTGGGTGGCTCCGTTGGTTAAGCGTCTGCCTTGGGCGGAGGTCATGATCCTGGAGTCCCAGGATCGAGTCCTGCATCGGGCTTGCCGCTCAGCTGGGAGCCTGCTTCTCCCTCTGCCTGCTGCTCCCCCTGCTTGTGTGTGCTCTCTCTCTCTCTGACAAATAAATAAATAAAATCTTTTAAAAAATTAAAATAAAAATAAAAATAAAAAATGCCCTGACTTTATAGCATTTCTCCTTCAGAAGGGGATCTAAAAAAAGGTTCTGTTTTGAAGGGACTCTCGTAGAGGCTAAAGGTCTGGTTTGTGGGCAGTGGACTAGGATAGGTATGCAGCATTGCTCCGGGTAGGAAAGTGAACACAGTCAGACACCCTAGGAATGAATGCTGAAAATCAGTTCACGTTCTGCTCAACAGGTCTTGGACCTCGGCACAGAGCTACTTCCACTTAGAGGAATGAGCATCGTTATTTTGGACAATGGCCCTGAATAGGCTAGCAGAAGCCATAGTTGGGTCCCCGTCCACCTGAGGGGTGTAACACACGGAAATTTCTTAAGTCATGCAGATACCTGGTTGAATTCCTGAAGACGCCGATCTGGAGTGCCTCTGCAAACAAGAGAAACTAGCAAAATGCTGGAGCACCTCTGGAGGAGTATATCAAACTAAATGAGAAATTATTCCTCTCTTTGTACCAAATGCAATGTGTCCCCAGCTGGGACATTGTGTGCAGCTCTGATCAGAGCTCTCAACAAGTACACAAAGGTTCAGGTGGAGGTCCAAGAAAATAAAATGCTCCAGGTGAGGTGGTGAAACAGGATCCTGAATGAACAATTCCTCAAAGGAGATGAGCTCGACAGGCACTCCTTGGGCTGGTCAATTTTAGCCACAACAATGGAGCAAAACTCTACTGGTGATTCTGTCTTTCAGAAAGGGCAAGAGCTTGAATATTAGATATAATAGCAGGGCATAAATGTTGAGCAGGTTACTTTGACTTAAGACAGAACACTGAGTACGTTTCTATTTGGCTTGGACACATTTAAACACCTACAGCTTATATAGCAGTTTCAAACAGGTTCCAGCTACTCGCCAAGCTCACGGTAGTGATCCTGAGGCTGAGTGTTTCCCAGGATTTTAGTAAAACAGCTCTAAGCAGTTTTGTTTTTTCTTGTAAGCCTTCCATTCTCAAGACCAGCGGTGAGCCCAGTGCTGGCCAGGTTGGGCAAAGCCGGCCTTCGGATCACTCCGCATCTCATGGAAACTGCCTCTTCCCTCCAATGACAGGTTTTCCTGCTGGGTCATCAAGAGGAACATAGAAAGCTGTAAGGAAAAAGGCCGAGAGTTGGGAAGCTTGGGTGGCTCAGTCGGTTAGGCATCTGCCTTCCCCTCAGCTCATGATCCCAGGGTTCTGGAATTGAGTCCCTCATTGGGCTCCCTGCTCAGCAGGGAGCCTGCTTCTCCCTCGCTTGTGCTCTGTCCCTCTCTCTCTCTCTCTCTGACAAATAAAGAAATAATAATAATTTAAAAAAAAAGGCCAAGAGTTGCTTTCTGAAAACCCTGGGAATGGCTGCAAAAACACAGCTGTGGGATTCTTGAGCGGTTTTTATCCCCATGGTGAGTGGCCCCCCTCCTGCCTCTAGAGCTGGCTTGTGCAGGCTTAGCTGGTTGACATCATGTTGGCAGCTTGAAATTGGCCATGGTGGCAGTATTTATACCATGAAAACTGCCAAATGTTACAACTCAGGGCTTTCCTTTTTTCTTTTTCTGAGAGCCAGTTGTTAAACATTTATCAGCACAGTGCAGATTCTCCTTAGGAGAAACCACCCCACACTCAAAAATGGGGCCAAAGGTTCCAGGGTACCTGTAAGAGGCCGCAGGTGCCCCATCTTTAACTGAGCAGCAACAATCGATGTGATGGCCAGGGTGGCAGAAGTAGCAGCCAAGGCGCCCAGCAGAGTAAATCTATAGTTAGTCAAAAGATGATCTCTTCTCTTCCTGGTGAGTCTCCGAAATTCCTATTGGCAGAGGGAAGTAGATGTTTTTGCAAGACCAGAAGGCCTTACCTCACACTGGGGCAGGGGTGGGAAGGGAGGCAGGAGAAAGTGAAATCTAGATTCATCTTATCAATGTAACACAAGGCATTAAGAAAAAAATATATATCTAAACCTTGGTAATAAAATCCTTTCAATGCCATATTGGAACAAGCTTCCCAAGGATTGTTTACTTCTCTACAGGAATGCACCTTTGTTTGACTTTGCTATTTACTCTTAATTACTGGCTCACGTCCTTTGAAGTTACATGTTAACTTATAGATCTTTTCCAGGCACAATGCAAATAATGTCTATCCAGTTGAAAAGGAAATCCCAAAGGTTATGGTTTTTCATTGTCCTGGAGGATATAAACCCATTTGGTATCTGATAACAATTTATCTTAATATCCCTTTTAAGTGCCTCTAAATGCTCGGTCCCTCAAAAATGGTCTTTCAACCAGCTTTACCATGTTACCCGTTCTCTCATTAATGGGTTAATAACTCTTTGACATGTGTTCATACTATATGCATATGAGTCGTGTTTTTAACTTTTTTGAAAATTAGACTCTGACCGCGTAAGTAGGCTTTGATATAAGGTAAAAGGAGTTCATCTCAGCTGATCCGAAGGATAAATACAATTTGGAGTCTTGTCATGGAGAGCTGCAATGGGCACAGTCCGACAAATTGATATAATTTCTGCTCTTTGTAATCCTATGTGGGGGGCCCAGCTCCCCAAGGAATACAGAAGACAGTGGCCAGCCTTGGTGGGATTATAGAGTTGTCATAAATGATTAGTACGGTAAACAGATTATCTCTCGCCAAACACAAGTATTGATCTCTTTAGTATCACAAAGCTGAAATCTGTGGGGTGGGGGCGGGGGGGGGAAAGTCATGTGTGTTTGAATTGTTAAGCTATCATTTAGTTTGTGTCTGGAAATGTCGTGAATAACAGTGTCTCACATAACCTCTAAAACCAATCAGTCTTTATAAAAGGATTTGCTTGACTGCAGAAGCCTTGAGAACAACCTCCACTGTGCTTTTTTGTTGTTGTTTTGTTTTGTTTTTGTTTTGTTTTTTAATTTTAACCAACACTTCCCTGGGCAGGCAGCCGTTCTAAGCGCATGAAGTGCGTCTGTAGCTCTGCTATAATGTTTGTGAGCCTCAGAAATGGCAGACAGCAGAGAAGCGAAGCTGGTGACAATCGAACGGTGCTGTCTCCATTTCGCCATTCTTTCTACAAGCTGTTGACAAGGACGGATGGCTTTCGTTGTAATCTGCTAAAGCCTCCTCCATATACAAGAGTGTCTAACCCTCCTGTGCAGTGTTTCCCTTCTTGATGAACATCCTGAGGAGTGACAAACAGTGACAGAATCCCTGAAAACATCCCATTCAGACCTGGGTGACAGTGAGTCGCAGCTCACCTGCTCTTGATATCCTACTAACACAAAGCGTGGTATTTTGTGTGGAGTGCTGACAAGAAGCTTGCTTCACATGTGGCTTCAGCAACAACCCAGTCGGGTGGGAAAGGGTGACCTGTCTGGTTCCCTGTGGCACCCACCCCCCACACAGGAAGGTGGTCCAGTCTCCTTCTGTGCGAGAAGCTAGGACTTTCTCTTTGTAAATTTCTTCGCAAAAGTGTTGAAATCAAACTACTTCGGGCCTGGATACGTGGCTAGCAGGGATTTGTCACTGATCCCCCTTGTGCTGATGACTCTAGGATGGTGCCCAGGAGCCCTGACTTTACATTTTGGCTAGGGGAGAGGCCAGATGAGCCCAGAGCTCCTGGTGAGTTGACCCAGCGCAAAGAGAAATATATATTCCTGATATCTCGACTACTACGCTAGATGGCTAGATAAGACTTTTAGATTCTAAAACCTACAGTGGAAGCCTGAGAATCCCTGAGCTTTCTGAACTGGCTTTTGCTTACCACCCTGCCACACCAGACACTGCCCTTCACATACACACACCAGCAGCACCCAGTGCCCACTCAGGAAATGCAAACAGTGCTTGGGTTCCTACTGAGTGAGCCTATGCAACTGGATAGGCAGATCTGTGTAAGGACACCATCTCATGCAAGTCTACGAATTATGAGATTATCACTGATGCTAAGTCCTCACTTTTGCAAAGGATAACTGGGAAGAAACGTTATGTCCCTACACCCGAAATGACATCACAAATGTAAAAAGAAGCCATCCAAAACCCAAGGAGAAATCACAGCCAAGTCACTGGGAGAAGCACATCGATGGCAGATTAGCCCAGAAATGAAAAAGGGAAATCATGCAAAGCAGTTGCTTCTGCGGAAACTCAGAGGCCTCCCTTTTTATTTATGGGATGTCTGGACAGATTGCCGCATAAGGTAATAACATATTTAAAAGTTGTTAATAAAGTACTTTGCACTGCTTTAAATTCAGTTCATCACCTCAACTGAAAACTTATTTGCACCAGCATTTATGATAAAATCTAGATGATGAGATTTTTTTTTTTTCCTCTCCGTCAAAGACTGACACAATGATGGAAGCTCAACTTAGGTTTTTATCCTTGGATCAATCCGTTTCCTAATGCCTGGATTTTGCACTTCGATACAAAATAGCTCAGTTTAATTTCTTTCTTATAGGATATTTGTCCCCAGGCTTTGCACTTTCCGACCGTGTTGAAAATCGCACGCAAATCCCCATGTCAGCAAATGGCCTCCTTTTGATAAAAATGACTTTGTTTCCTACGATGGAAAACAAGGATGAAAGCATCCGGTTCACTGTGAACACAGACAATAAGACGGGGTTATTGAAACATTATCACATTTCTGTCCCACTCTGTAAATTTTTATTAAAGATTAAAGTTAATACACTGTCTAGTTATAGTAATATAAAATGTGCTTATATTTTACCAGCAAATGGTGTTTTGATAATAAATTAATAAATGGAAGCAAGAAGAATTATCTGCTTCATTCTGAAGATCTACAAAACCTCCAATAAAGATTTCTTGATTGAATGCAAGGACCCACAAAGTGTTTTGTTAAGAAATGAGTAATAAGAATTTACAGGAAAGCTGCTGCTTTTGGAAAGAGGGAAGTAGTCATTTCTTGGTTGTATGACTTCAGCAGACTTTTCCACTGTCAGTTGTCTCTTTTCTTTTTCCAACCAACTGGAAACCTGTCATTATTTTCTGTATTTTCTTAGGGGGAAAAATGTCAACCAGTGTAGTCAGTACTTTTTTAAAAGGTCAAATTTAATACTTTTTGTTTTTTGTATAGTGAGTGGACTGTGCAGTTATTTCCAGATAATTTTGAAATTAAAACACTTTGGCTGCACCAGGGTCTAACTAAACTAAAAAGTTTTTATTTTTAAAATCCTTATATGTAAGTGATGAATCACCAAATTCTACTCCTGAAACCAATATTACACTATATGTTGACTAACTAGAATTTCAATAAAAGTTTGAACATAAAAAAGTACAATCCTGTAGCACTTGTGACCTTTTTGTTTATAAATTTGTTTACTTGACCTTCAGTCTGTGTCTTCAGTGTTTTGAGAAGAGATAAAATCAAGAGCAATGAAGTCAGTGGCTTCAAAAACTTTTTACCAAATATTTGGAGAAGATTCACTTAACCATTTCAGACAAACATCAAACAAGCATTTTTAAATATGAAGACAGGCTTTGCACTCAGTGAAAATTATTATGAGAAAATAGTCACCTTTTCTCCCCTTGGGAAGTTTTGGTTCGTTTGTTTAAATGAAAACAAAGGAAGAGTCTTTGGGAACCAAGAAGGGGAGGACATGCCAAATAAAAACAAATAATGTGAAAGTCACAATGGAATATTTGGAAAATTAATTATGGTATTTTACTTATTATTAAGTCTTTTTTTTTCAATTTTCACAAAAAAACAGTGTCTGGAAGGAGTAACTAATTTAGATTCAGACAACTGAGGATAAGGAATTTTGAAAACTCTGAAAAAGAGCAGCTGATTGTTAACAGAGGGAAAAGCAGTTTTGCATAAAATAAAAATGGCCACTCGCCATTCACTAACACTGACCCAACCTTGAGGGCAAGGACATTATTAATCATTTATCCACATAAAGCATAGGCTGATGAACAGTTGCAAGTTGAAATATGATAAAACTACTTTATGGCTATTAACTAGGTTAAAGTAAATTTTACATTCAACGGTGGTCTAGAAGACAGTATCAATCAGAGATTTTCACTCAAAAGGAAAAACAAATGTTTTACTCATTTCCATAATATTCTCTAAAATAATTTTTATAATATGTATGGTAGGCTTTCTGAGATATTATATCCAAATATGTATATCTTAAGTAAATCATTCATTTAACAAATATTTATTGAGCACCAATTACGTGCCAGGGAGCCGTAATAATTTTTGTAGTGGAGAGAATAAAAGAATATGACATGATATATTAAATATTGCAATTCAAATGCTACTTCAAATCCTTCTCAAAAGGAGGCTGTGGATAGATATGGATCCTGAGAGATCATTTTTAATGAGAGCAGGTTTCTGTTGGTACAAAAAAGATTAGAATCAGACAAATTCCGTAGAACAGCCCAGGAAAATGTCCAAGGCATCACATCACTGAGATGGTACCTTCTCTAAGCTACCGGGACAATGTGTTATTTCCTTTATATTCATGTTTTACTTTGGGCTCCCCCCCACCCTGGAAGCAGACCCTGAGACAAACATTTAAGTAGAAGCAGTTTATTCAGGAGATGATACCAGCAAAAACTGGTATGGGAGTAGACAGCTGAAACTGGGGAAGGGAAGGAAGTCAGTACAGAGTTTGTCATACTCGTTACCACTGTGTGGAGCTGGAGCCGAATTCTAGGAGCCAGGAGAGGTTACGTGCCTCGGGGTCACCCTAGCCAAGTTGACATCATACACCAATTCCCATCAGTCCTTATAGGAGAGCTGCTGAATCAGAGACATTCATTCCCCAGTACAACCCGCCTAGCCTGCTCAACAAGTGGGCAGACCAGGTCTTGGCAGCAGAGGAAGGCTTTGGGTAAAGAAATACAGGTTCTGGCAGGTGGAAGTCTGGCTTGCCAGCACATACTAAGGTGGTGTGTCAGTCTTCCAGAGCCGCCGTAACAAATGACCACAAACTGGGGGCCTAAGCACAACAGAAATGGGTTCTTTCACGGTTCTGGAGACCAGAAGTCTGAAATCAGGGAGTCACTGGGGGCCCATACTTCTGCTGAAAGCTTCGGGGGAGGATCCTTCCTTGCCTCTTCCAGCTTCTGGAGGCTCCAGGCGTTCCCTGGCTTGTGACTACATCACCCCAGTTTCTTCTTCTGTCTTCACATCACCACCTCTTCCGTGTCTCTGTGTCTTTTCCTCTTCTCAGCTAAGGATACTTGTCTTTGGATTTAGGGCCCATCCTCAATTTAAGATGATCTCATCTTAAGATCCTTCACCTAATTACATCTGCAAAGACTCTTCTTTTTTTTTTTTTCCAAACAAGATCACACTTGCATATTCTGGAGGTTAGGACATGGACATATCTTTTGGAAGGCCACGATTCAACCCACTACAGGTGGTATGAGCGAGGGGATATGAGCAGGACCTCGACGGTGCCTGCTGCAATCTAGGAATTTTTTTTTTTTAATCCCCTTCAGCCTGCTCTGTGCCTGGCCCACCAACCCAGATCATTCACCAAAGATCCGCTATCAGTTTGTAGTGTGCTGTGTTAACTGCCAACGTTGTTTCCCCCTCCTCTACATGCTTTTCATAGTGTGAATACTTGCCTTCTATGGAACTGTGTGTTTATTGGTTATTTCTCTGACATAAATTGATCTTTAAAAAGCAGCAACCACGACAAACCGGGATGGGATGTTCCTTCCACTTACAACAAACCTTTTTGTGAGCAAAACATGGTTTTCTATTTATATAGGTATACACAGATAGTCACTGCATAAAGGCAGTGCCCTCACAGTCTTGCAATAGAAGGTAAGATTGTGGAATGAAAAAATTAGGCAGCATGTCACAAAATAATTTAACTGAAACCCCCAGAGTTTCACACTTATGATTGCAACAAGTCGGGCGGACCGTCAGGCGGCACGCAATGGGTGAAACATTAATTGGGGCCCGTGCCTTGCATATTAGAGTATGTTTCTCCAGGTCCGCCACAGCCTGCAAAATTAAAACAATTCCCCCAGCAAGCGAAACAGCTAGTAAGCAAATCCACATCACCACCGCTGCTGTTCAAGAGCAGGTGTCTGTCAGTTTTTGCCCAGTGTCGGATTTACTTTTTCCAGATCAAGGGGGTTTGTTTCCTGATTATAGATCCTGCTCAGCACTTATCTGGTAAGATTTTCAGAAAGGTTCCTTCAGAGGGCAGTAGGGAAGGACCCGGAGTTAAGTAGCACTCGGGGAGGTAATAGAGATGACTAAGCTGGGAAAAGAAAAAAAAAAAATCACGGACAATTCTGAGAAGTGGGTTGTAGGGTAAGGGATGGTATAAGGAGAAGCATGCCCACGGAGGGAGCCACAGGCAGGGGGCTCATTGATGGATCATCCCCACCTCTGTCCCAGCCTGGCAGCCGTTCAGCAACTTCTGCAACTGGCACTTGTATAAGTCTTTCCATCCCAACACATTTGGTTAAAAGTGGAGAAACTGAAGGAAGGAGGCTCATAAGACAGGATGTACCCATTCACCCACTCAAAAGGGGGATTCCATCAATTCCAAATATAAGCACTTCACGTGCCTTCACTCATTCGCTCATGCAATAAATCTCTAGGGAGTACCTATTGATTGCCAGGCGATATACTAGATACCTATAATTCATCCTTTTGAGTCCTTTTCCTTGTCTCTCTTCCCTCTGACTTTGGTGACACTCAGTCTCCTTTGTTTACTAAAACTAGGAACCTCTGTTTCCTTTCAAAAAAAAAAAAAGCCCCTCAGATTTAAGAAAACCATGATCGCACTGTATCCAAGATCCTTATAATTACCCTATGTGGCGGTAAGTCCAGATGCAACATTAAGTAGATTACAAAACCCCGCCACGATTTCACAATAAAAAAGGAAATGAAAATTGCAATCCAACATTTAATTGTTTTTTAACATGTTTGTTGAAAGCAAGAGAAATGAAAGATTCAAAACAATATCTATTCTTTTAGGAAGCTGGGATTTCCACTTATCAAAAGATGATTTAAGAGCTGTGGAATACTTCACAGGTGAGAAGCTATACAGCAGAATGCCCTTAACCATGAATTTGAAGGATGAATTATAACCTCTTTTGGCTTAACCATTCTGCAATCGCCCTCCAGCCAGACACTTAAGGATGACTAAAACTTTTCAGTCTCTATCTAAAATAATAAGCTTATAGACATCAATGCCAAAACGGCAATAAAATCTAGACTTCTGGAAGGTGAGGCAGGAGTTCAAAGTCTTACAGACTCTCCATTCCCCCACAAGAAATGTCTCTTTGTCTCTGAATTATCCGGTAGTTTTTAACTTCGTGAGCATAGGAATTACTTGGGGAGCTGATTAGAAATCCGTATTCTTAGACCCCACCCATGCCAGTTTTGGGTTAGTAGTTCTGAGGTGGGAGCCAGGAAATCTGCTTTATTAACAATCAACCTCAGATAATTCTCGTGGAGGGAGTTTGCTGATCACATTCGGAGCAACAGTGACCCAGGGAAAATTCATCCTGAATTTGTTACTTCCATTGTCTCTAACAGTGTGGTGATAGAAAAAGAGGATTTCTTGCCTTTTCAAATTTTTAGTGATGACTTAATGAACACTTATTTTATGCCAGGCACTCTATGTGATATATACATCTATCTATACTTACATCTATCAGTGTATCTAATTCTCACAATGACCCTGTGAGATAATATCCCTATTTTACCATGAGAGAATGGAGACTCACCAAAGTTAAGCAAGTTGCTCGAAATCAACCCTAGGATATCTGACACCAAAGCATTTGTTCCAAATTGTTGCACTGGCCTCCCAAAGAGTTCCATGAGCGCATTGTATATTTCTGATACTCACCCAGTTAACCTCGTAGCAGTTGGTCAGTTACTATAATAATTCACATCACTTTAAAAACATCACTCCCACAAACTCCTGCTATGCCAAAATAGCTGCCATAGGTGGGCAGATGAGACAGGCAGGGAATAGCTGGTCACTGGAGACCAGTGGCCATGGTCAAGCAATCAAAGAGAACCCCAGCTGCTGTCCTAGAAAACGTACTCGTAGGCAATAAGAGTTTCATGTATTAACCACTGTAGGGATAGTTTACAATGTCAAAGAGGGAGCTTAGGACTTCTAATAATGGTGGGGGAGCCGATATTAGACTAACCCTTCTGCGGATGGCAACTATAAACTCTGAACAACATATAAAATAGCCATTTGGAGGCACTGGACAGTGACCAAAGCAGGAATAAACTGGAGGAAATTTGGCTTCTGAAGCAGGAATCACAGTAGCTGAGAGTCACATTTGTATGTCTTGTTCTCTGTCGTTTTTAAGGGTATTCCTCGGTCCTCACAAATCTGCTGGATATGGCCACAGCGGAAATCTTGAGTTTTATTGACCTGAAGATTTAGAGGACAGAATTTGGACCTGGCAGGGCAATGGGGAATTGAGGAGGGAGAAATCCCAGAAAAGAGAGAGAGCTTAGAGAGGGAAATCACAAAATATGCAAGCAAACCTTCCTCGAATCTGTGACTGACTTCTGAATTCTAACACGTGGGATAAGGCTCCAGGGAGCCTAGGGGAGAAATAGTAGCTGGAAAGCTGGAAACTGAATAGCAGTTTTAACAACTGTCCACTGGAGAGGAGAAAGAGTTTGGAGTTTGGGTAGTCTCAGGTTAGAAGGGCTTAGTAAACACCTCAGACTTCCCACTGTAATTCCACCCATGTTGCATCTTTGTGATATATACCACACGCCGAGATTAAGGGCTTTATCCAAGCACAAAAGACAAAACTTAGAGCTGCCTTAATGAAGCATAAAGCCAAGCCTCCAAAAAATCAATCAAAACAAAACTCAACACTCTTTAGAGGAACATAAGAGAATCCAGACTCTCTATAATGTATTATACAGTGTACAATAAAAAATTACTAGATATGTGAGGAGGAAAGAAACCCAAACAGGAATATTTGGAAGAAATCAGTCAATATAATATAAACAGACCCATAGATGATCCAGATGTTGTAATTAACAGACAAGGATTTTTTTTAATTTAAATTCAATTAACCAACATATAGTACATCATTAGTTTCAGATGTAGAGTTCAATAATTCATCAGTTGTGTATAACACCCAGTGCTCACCACATCGCGTGCCCTCCTTAATGCCTATCACCCATTTATCCCGTCCCCCCACTCACCTCCCCCCCTGCAACCCTCAGTTTGTTTCTTATAGTTAAGAGTCTCTCATGGTTTTTCTCCCTCTGATGACTTCCCATTCAGTTTTTCCTCCCTTCCCCTATGACCCTCTGTGCTGTTTCTCATATTCCACATGAGTGAAACCATACAATAATTGTCCTTCTCTGATTCACTTATTTCGCTCAACATAATACCCTCCAGTTCCATCCACATCGATGTAAATTGTAAGTATTCATCCTTTCTGATGGCCGAGTGATATTCCGTTGTGTATATATATACCACATCTTCTTTATCCATTCATCTGAACAGACAAGGATTTTTAAATTATTATGATAAATTTGTTAAATAATTTACAGGAAAAAAATGAGTAAATAGTAGAGGAATAGGAGGTTTCAGGAGAGATTCTTAAACTGTGAAAAAAAAAATCCAAATAACAGTTCTAGAACTCCAGCTCCCGCTCAGCGGGGAGCCTGCTTCTCCCTCTCCTGCTGCCCCTCCCCCAAGCTTGTGTGCTCTCTCTCTCTCTCTCAAATAAATAAATAAAATTTAAAAAAACAATTCTAGAACTAAAACAATACATCAATAACAAAAATTTTACCTAATGGGTGTGATAATACATTGGATGAGACAGAAGAAAGTATCAAAAAACTGAGGACAGGCCAAACAAATTTTGAAAACAGAATGAAATGAATCACAGTGACATGTGGGATGGTATCAAGCAGTCTAACAGAAGTGTAATTGGACTCTCAGATGGAGGCAAGAGAGATAATGGTTTGTAAAAATTATTTGAAGAAATATCGACCAAATTTTTCCACATTTAATAAAAATCAACCACCCACATATTCAGGAGGCTATGACCCTACAAAAGAAGCAAGAACATGGGCGCACCATAGTCTAAATGCTAAAAAACAAAAATAAAGAGAAAATTTTTAAAGTAGCCACAGGAGAAAAGCACATTTACATACAAAGAAACAAAATAAAAATGATGTCTGTCTTCTCATTAAAAAAAAAAAAATGGAGTTGAGAAACCAATAGAAACAATGTTCCAAAATTCTGGGCCTTAAACTAAAAGGAATGAAGCTCTGGTGGTCACGTTCCTTTCCTTTTCTTTTTTTTTTTAAGATTTTATTTACTTATTTATTTATTTATTTGAGAGAGAGCAAGGGAGCACACGTGAGCAGGGGGAGGAGCAGAAGGGGAGGGGGGGGGATAGGGAGGAGGAAAGAAGACTCCATGCTGAGCATGGAGCGCAGTGCAGGGCTCGATCTCAATATCCTGAGATCATCGCCTGAGCCAAAACCAACAGTCAAATGCTTAACCGACAGGGCCACCCAGGCACCCCTCTGGTGGTCATATTTCTGGTAGGCTGGCATTCAGGATGGGACAAAGCATTCTTTGTTTTGTTTTGTTTTTTAAAGATTTTATTTATTATTGGGACAAAGCATTCTTTGGTGGGACTCTGTTACGTGACTCTTGAAATTCTTTTGGAAAGCAATAGGTAGCCATTGTACTTTTCCGAGGAGGTGATGTGATAAAATGCAATCTGGCGGGGAGAAACCTTTGCAGTTAGGTGCAGGATGGACTAGAAGGGAAAGAACCAAGATGCAGGAAAATAAGAAATTAGGAAAGTGATGTGTCAATCCAGGCAAGGGGTTCTTTTTTGGTCAAAGGTCACAAGCATTGGGCAACAGTGTCATCGAACAAGGCCAAGGCCTCAGGCCGCAGACCCAAGAACCTGATTTGTGTGGACATTGCTCCTGGCCCCCAGTCTGAGATACATCCTCATACTCATCAAGCTCATGGAACCAAAATGGTAGACCCAACAAAACGCTGCTTCATCCATTTACCATGAAAGATGCAAATGTCAAGAGTCACAGAAAAGTCACAGTGGCAGATCAGCACATTCCCTCTTGGTATGGGAGGCCAGAGGTCTTGATGACTATGGATTGAGAGCCAGAGAATTTAGGTGAGCCTGAGAAATATTCTTCAGCTGAAGCAGCCTGAGCCTTCTCACCCAGCACAGGGAGAATGTTGCTAAGGATCCTCTACCTGCCCCTCTACTCGGCCCAGATTCCCTATCTACTGGACTATGTTCAGATGGATCCTGATGGTGTGGGACTCCCTTTCCCATAACTACCAAGACTGTTCTGTTCTTCACAAATATTAACAGAGCAGGTCTGTTTGCAATCCAGTCTTGCTGGTCCAAAATCCATGCTGCCTCTTTAAGCAATGAATTCTCCCTTCTGATCTATTGCATAGGTCCTTTAGACTTTCACTCTCAAACAGAAATCTCATTTCAACTTTTTAAGTTTCTGATTGGCACCTCCTTATGGCCTCCAGGAATGACAACAAGGGGGATCTAGGAACAATGGAGAAGAAGCAGCAAAAGAAGCTGTGAGCACAGCGTTGAAGGCAAAATGCAGGATCAGATCAGGGTTGATCAAGAGAAATGGGGCAGTAAACAGATTTGAGGACCAAAAATTGCTTTTGCCGGCACCAAAATGCCTTGCCTTCCAGAAACACTCAGAAAACATTTGTGGAATGGGAATGGAGTGGGAGCTGAAGCTCCATCAGCTCAGGTCTTACAAATCCTCTGCAAATTCCAGAAAGGACTCAAGTTGCTCGCCATCCCCATGGCAGGAAGCACAGGGAGGGAAGCCTGTTGGAGTTGGAGAGTTGAAGTAAAGTCGGGATCTATGTAGATTAAAATCCCTTGGTGGCTCAGAGCTGTCTCCCAAGGGGACTTTGATCAAAGGGTTAGTTTTTACCTAGGTTTCACTAGGTCAGTAGCAATGATTTTGCTATTCCTTCTAAAGAGTTCTAAGAGCATGTATTTCCAGATTGCATATAGGGCTTTTATACCTCTTATCTATTTACATCCAATTCTGAAATAATTATCTCCATTTTACAGATAAGAAAATAGAGGCTCAGAGAGGTTAAGGAGCTTTCCCAAGCAACACAGTTAGTGGCCGAGCCAAGCACCCGAACCATGGCAATCTGGCTCCAGGGCTCGTGTTCCTATCCACTGTGCTCTTTCTCTCTCACATTGTGCCAGGCCCAAGACCCTGTATCCATAAATATCAAGCCCACCGGAAGCAACAGAGTGAGTTCTAAGGAAATGCTAAGGCAGAGCCGGTGTCAAGTTTGGTCTGAGGCCCTGTTGCTCTATGGACCAAATGGCATCTGCCTCCAGAGTCGACCCCAGGACCAGTAAATGTCCTCTCACCACGTCTCTTATCCCTGGCATGGCCAGAGCTAGACGACTTGCAGGAGGAACGGAGGAAATACACAGCTTGTCTGTCTTTGATATTATGTTAGCTTGTGGATCTGAGGTCCCTGAACCACCAAGATAAAGTTCTTTTTTCTTAGCACACCTAACTTGGCAGATGCTAGCATTAGAGCTGAACAGATGTTTTCCCTAGAGAATCTGTTTCCAATACCTTATGATGAAGAATCACCTTCAGAGAATAAACAAATGTACATATGTGTAAGCTCCAGCAAGACAAAACCATCTATTTCAGATGAGAGACAACAAATGCTCTGTGCTTGGGGAAAATAGATATTAGACAGCCCAGAAGTCACTCAAGGATTTCTTTTTAAGTGTCATTCCTGTTTGAGGTTTCTCACTGTCTTTCCCTGCTTCCAGCAATTGCAATTTGGAACACTAATTCTGGAATTTATTATTTATTTCTCCCAATGAAGTTTGCATCAAACTGACAAAAGGCAGTTTTATACACTGGGTATGCTAAATGTGCTTATTTAACCTATTTCTGTAGTGCTTGAATTTAAACGGGAGAGAAAGTGGGTAACCGGTATAAACAGTGTTTGTTTTTCTAAACACTTGGTAAGTTTTTCGATTGGTCCATTGTTTTGCTGTCTTTTTTAATGGCCAAATTATTCCCAGAGGTACCCAGATGCTCATGCAATTCTCTCCAGTATTTACAAATGGTTATAAGTGATCGAGCTGATCTGTTTCAGAAGCATATTGTGGAATTATTAACATCATTTTCTTGAATAATGACATTTCATTCTTCTCTAACAATGTCCACTCGGTTGATATTTACATGGAAAATATCTTAGTGGCCTGAGGTCTATGAATGAGGAAAAGGCAAGTGGGATGTATAAATTATAGTCAATCTTAAATTTAAATTAGTTACGTGTGGTAGGCTAAATAATGGTCCCAAAAGCTAGGTTCATATCCGAATCCCCACAACCTATGAATGTCACCCTCTACGGCAAAGATTTTGCAGCAGTTAAGTTATAGATCTTGAGATGGGGGGATTATTCTGAATTATCCTCAAGTATCCGTATAAGAGGGAGCCAGGAGGAAATTTGACACCCATGGAAAATAAGAAGAAATGGAACTGCAAGGGGCAGAGAATGGAGTGAGGAGGTCACAAGCCAAGGAAGGCTGGCAGCCACCAGAAGCTGGAAGAGGCAAGGAACGAATTCTTCCCCAGAGCCTCCAGAAAGCATGGTCCTGCCAATACCTTGATTTCAGACCAGTAAAACTGATTTTGAACTTCTGGCCTCCAGAAATGTGAAAGAATACATTTCTGTTGTTTTAAGCCACCAAGTTTGTGATCATTTGTTACAGCAGCCCCAGGAAACAAATACACTATGTTTCTACATGTTACATATAAGCCAATTATTTGAACCTTAGTGCATTTATTGACAAATACAATATTACATGCCCTAGTTATCACCATGTTAGACCAAAAACGTCTTTTTTTTTTTTAAATCACATGTATAGAATTATACTATACAGTGGGGATTTGAAGGTTGTTTTTTTCCCCCTTTTCTTTTGCAAGAGAAAAGTCAAAAAAATAGCTGGATGCTAGAAGGGAATATGGGACTTAACTCAAGCAGTAAGAGCTCTCAGCCAAAAGAAAGGGCACATCGGTATTAGTCATGGTAAATCATCATCACCATCATCATCATCATCATCATCATCTCTTTCATAGTATTATGTCTTAAGCACTCTTCTAAGTACTTTACAGATATATATTCCTTTAAGTCTTACAAGATGCCTATGAAGTAAATCCTAGTATTATTCCCATTCTACAGATGAAGAAACTGACCTAACAAGTGGTTAAATAATTCACACAGCTGACAAATGTTTGCACATATATTTTATCCAATGCCCAACAAATGGCTGTTGAAGTACCACTGCCCAGGGCCATGGATGGAGTGGGGGTGTAGGCTATACAGTTTAATTGAGAAAATCTTCTTATAAGGTCGAAGGAAAATTGAGTTTATTGACTATAGGGAAGCCTATGGTAAGCCACATTATCTGAGCATTCCTCTTGTCAAACTGCTATTCAATCAACAAGTGTTTGGTTGTCTACTATGGGCAGACACTGTGAGGTGAACCTCAAGACATTGTATCCTGATCCAAGCTGATGACCATAATTGTCTAACTCTCTCTCTGAGTGATCACCGTAATAGTCAATGACTAGCTGCAAAGCATAGGTTTTAAATAGTCTGGCTATCATTAAAAACAGGAACTGTGTGTCCCCCCAAATCTTCATGGAAACTTTGACAATGTCCTCTGAGTCTTTCAAGCATTCATTTATTTGGTTCTTAAAATCAATTTTATAAAAACACGTAACTAATAAAAACTGAAGGCTAGTATGTATACAAACCTAGCATGGATGGAGCTTATAACCTTAAAAGCATCAATTACTTTGGGATTTATGAATTAATGATATTCTTTTTTTCTTGAATTCATATTAAAAAAATCAAACTTTTAAGTAAACCAACAACAACAACAAAAAAAAAAAATCACGCAGACAACAGAAATCAGATCAGATTCCAAGACCTCCAGAAGAGTTTTTTTGATTTTGTATTATGGAAAATGTCCAGTAAACAGACTAGTATAATAAATCTCATCTGGCTATTCTTGTTTTATTGTATACTTCTCTCTATTCCCCACACAATTATTATTTATATACAGTTCTTTTTTTTAGATTTTATTTATTTATTTGACAGAGCAAGAAAAAGGACAAGCAGAGGGAGCAGCAGGCAGAGGGAGAGGGAGAAACAGACTCTCCACTGAGTGTGGAGCCCAACGGCATGGGGCTCCATCCCGGGACCCTGGGATCACGACCTGAGCCAAAGGCAGCCGCTTAACCAACTGAGCCACCCAGGCATCACTATACAGTTCTTTATAAGAATAAAATCTGTGTTCATTAGGAAGCAAAAATCTTAACTGTAATTTTGACAAATATATATGCCTAGGTAAGCCACATGCCCTATTTAGATATGGAACATCCTCACCACCTCAGGAAGTTCCCCTATGTCCATTCCCAGTCACTTTACACCCCAACCCAAAGACAATGATTATTCTGCTTTTTTTCACACCACAGATTAGTCTGGCCTATTCTAGAACTTCATAAATAGAATCACGCAATACATGCTGTTATTACTTCTTTGTGTCTGGGATCTTTCACTCACAAACATTATGGTCAGCATAATGTCCATTATGATCCATATACCAGTAGTTCATTTCTTTGTTTCTTTTTTTTTTAGCTGGCTAGTATTTCATTGTATAAATATACCACAGTTTATTTCTCTACTCTGTTAAAGTTGGACATTTGAGTAGTTTCAAGTTTTGGGGGTAGTAAGTCTGCTATGAACATTTTCACAAACTTTTTGTGTGTGAACATGTGTTTTAATTTCTCTTGGGTAGATTACCTAAGAGTGGAATTTCTGGGTCAAAGGGTAAGTAGCAGACTATTTTATCATTTATAAATTAACTTTCTGGGCTCCCCCAAGTGACTCGCAAACATTTCTTTTGACAAAATCAAAACA